CTGACAGCGAGGTTTGTTCATTGATTCAGGAAACATACAAAACTGTAGTGCTCGTTTTTTTTTTTTTTTGCTAACGTGTTAAAACTGGGCTACAATGCCCGATATAGCAGACTGACCATCCTCTAGAGGACGCTCCTGAATTTCGCTTGACGGCATGACAGTCTATGGGCATTGAAAACGCTGTTGATGTGTAAACAACTATTTTACTTTCAGTAAAAGTACCTCGAGGAAGTCACGGCAACGACTCTAAACATTGAATTTAATGCCCGCAGCTCTATACCGGGCCTTAGGACTAAGAGATACCAATATTGAAGCACTTGGCGTACTTTTGCTGCTACCAAAGTGTTCTTCTAAACATCAGGCAACAATCCTCTCACAAGGAACAATTATGGAACAGAAAATAGAAGCAAGTGGCCTTGTGGAACACTATACCACCACAATATTTCGGGAGTCATACCGAACAAATTTGACTGCGTTTTTAGAGGTGAAGCTTTCAAAGCCGTGGGTCTGTCCATGCATGTCTTTTGTGACTGGTTCATAACCACCTTGTTGTACGACTCTCTCAGCAGATGGCGCTAGTGGGAGTGAGATAGAAAAAGAACTATCGGTTAAGAAAAAAGTGAAGGAAACGGAGACTGACATGTGGAGAATGGGCATGATTAAGAAGTCCGCACTAGAGATCTATCGAACTTTTAAGCAGGAAATTGCCAAGGAAAGGATCTATGATAATACTCGGGGTAGTTCTCTACTGTTTGAGGCCAGGACGGGAGTACTGCGAACCAAGACATATCGGGTCAAATACGAAGGGGTCGACACAGTATGCAGTGCGTGTGGAGAGGAAGAAGAAACTGCCGAACACTTGATAATGTTCTGTAGAGGGCTTCACCCTATAGTTCAGGATGATGGCGCAGAGTTTTTCAAAGCACTGGGATTTAGGGACAGCGAGGGCAAAATAGACTTTAAGCGGGTAGACTTAACTAGAAGGAGGTTATCTGATTGGTGGCTAAAGTCAAGGCACGAGTAAAAATTAAACCCTTCACTGCGAAGTACGAATCCTCAACTTCATTATTTAAAGGGAAAAAAAAAGATAAATGTAATGGTTAGTTCACTAAGTATTATGGCTAGGTGGCGTTAGCCACCGCCCGATATAAAGGGTACAGCCACATCCATCCATCCATCCATCCATAGATGGCCAGACAGACACATAGACGAACGGACGCACCTGATCACCAAACGCCAGAGCCCAGTTTACCTAGCGCTAGGTGCATTTGAATGAACACCAGCTGGCCGACAGTGCTATAACACTCCGTGATTGCATACTTCATAAATATACATCGTGGTTTTGACACGTAAATTCCGCAAACATTATTTCCGAAAAGGTGCTATAGGTGCAGCTTATGCACACTTCGACAACCATATTCTCAGATCGGGTGGGGTAAAATTGATAAGGTCCCATATTTTTCAAAACAACCACTACAACATCCATTTGATTGCAATGAAGAGCTAATAAGTGTTGGGGTTTGACTTTCCAAAATGCCGATAAGATTACGAGGAATGTCGTAGTGGAGGGGCTCATGAAATTTTTACTAACTGGTTTTTTTTTAATCTCATCTACATTGAAGTGCACGAGTGCGAAATATTTTTGATGGAAGCGAAAATTTTTTGAAAGCCATCTCAAATGCTGCCACGACTATCGGTATTCGATCCCTCGACTTTCGGGGCAGCTGTTGAGCACCACAACCACTAGACTACCGTTGCGGGCCTATGATCACGTCAAAGATACAAATTATAACGAAGCCATTCAACACGTCTGGTTGCCCTTCAAGTATTCCCGGTAAAGCTGGGCGCCGTGTTTTTCAAGCGTCAAACGACTATTTGCCATCACATCCTGAAATGCCTGGGCAATTTTTAACTGTGGGTCTTCGGTCTTATGTTCACATCCATTAACACGAACAGCGGGTGGACAAGTTGACTCGGTGAAGTTAGGTATTCTTACTTTTCTTTATCTTTCTTCTGGCCATGACACAACTCTTGATTTTAAAAAAAAGAGAGAGAGAAGGCCATGTGACATGTGGCGGAAGACGCATGTGCTAATAGCTGTCGTCCATGAAACCTGGGTTTGATAAGCTTCCCATACATGAGAATGTTTCGATTGGCATCCTGGATTGTACTTCAAGTAATTTCGCAGTGCCCCGTGATCGGCGCGGACCAAACAGCAATATCGTGTTGTCGCGTCACGCTATGTGATGTCACTATGTCATCATAGAGTGTCCTTTTCGCATGACATTGATTTTTTTATTATTTGTGTTCACATCACTAATTTTCATTTTTTGCGATTGATAAGCCATCTGGCGCTTCTGCCTTATTAATAACTGCAGACGTCTACACGCCCAAAGCGATACCAGAACTACGCGCGGTGTAGTTGATGCTTATGTACTTGCTGCCGCACGCTCTAAACTCCTCCGCTAGTTGATTTGATTGATATGTGGGGTTTAACATCCCAAAACCACCATATGATTATGAGAGGCGCCGTAGTGGAGGGCTTTGGAAATTTCGACACCTGGAGTTTTTTAACGTGCACCCAAATCTGAGCACACGGACCTACGACATTTCTGGCTCCATCGGAAATGCAGCCGCCGCAGCCCGGATTCAATCCCGTGACCTGCGGGTCAGCAGCCGAGTACCTTAGCCCCTAGACCACCGCAGCGGGGCACTCCTCCGCTGGTAAAGGAACTGAATAGTGGAATAGCCTGCCATAACTACTGAACTTATATTCAATAAGTGCAATTGATGCGTCCATATTTTAGTTCTGTCATCTAAAGGAGTCTACAAATTCTTAATTTGCGCTTGTTTGTTGGTCACTGATGTGCTGCCTTGTATAATTTGTTTTAAGAGGGAGCTGGCTTTTATCATGCCTGCGAGATGCTTTTTTTTTGTTTTATAGCACCCTGCAGCCTTACCTGTTTTGTATTCTTTTTTGTTTACGCTAAAATATTGTTATTACTATTACTTTCTTTTACGTGTAGCTACGTGTACGTGCGCAGCCCTCCTTTCCTCTTAGCCTCATCAAAATGTGGTTACCATGACTGGCCGTCGGACGAGCCACCACCCAGTAAAGAGCAGTTCAGTAAAGGGAAAATGTAGCAACAAGAAATTGCTGCAGAAATGATATAGGTGAAGCTTACGAGAAACAAGGCCGATTAAAGCGCACTGTAGATTTCATTGTTCGCTTTGGAAACATTCGGCAATAAGAGGAAGTATTTTGTCATGGCTACCACTGGGCGCATATAAACCATAAATAACACTAATGTGAAGGAAGCTGATAGCGGAGAAACTGTAGCAACTTGCAGGCTTGTTGTGTTGCAAATTATAAACATGAACAATCTTAGATAGGCGTTAATGAGGAGTCTCGAATTATTTAGTGCATAGAAGTTCGTTGCACTATTAGAAGAGCCTTGCAGTCATAAATACTTAAATTTTACCTTCCTCTTCCGCATTAACTAGGAGAGAACGAAATTTGAATTCGCAAAACAATTGCTTGCCCTGTTTATTGTTGCATCGCAGTGTCTACAGGTACCGTCTAGCGGCGACGCTTCGCAGCCTAGCAGCGGCTTCGCTTGCTTTGTTGCACTTCCTTCGTGAGAATCCAGCGTTTTCGTTGTGCCGCTTCAGTTGATCTGTCGTGGAGCCGTGATTGCGAATGTGGCAATTAGAAGCTATGGTCATCACAACCAAGTAACACGCACGCAGCGTTCGTATGCGTCTTACCAGCCAGCATGACCAAGGCGCGTGTCTCCAGCTGCCTTGCCACTGCCGTTGATTTCAGAATTACTGCTCGAACGGGATAGAACTAAAAATGATTCGCCACTGGCACGAATCAGCGCGATTCCATATGCCTCGTTGATTTCATCGTCGCTTGTGGACACTAATAACGGCGGCGACGACAATGGGGTGGCGAAGACATGCCCATAAACGTGTGCGCCGAGCAGACGAAAATGTCAACGAAGGCCGCGTCACCATTTCATGTGACCACGTGATCTCATCCTTCATGAGCGGGACCGCAGGAGGTTACCGCTTGGCAGCGCTGAAGATTGGCGGGCTTTGCACCCGTTTCGAATTGGGTTCTACAATGGTCCTACTGAATATTAGATGGTTTTCGTCCCTCTGTTGCATTAGTAGCACTGAATCGTTATTATGGGATCAATAACTACGCGTTGACGCAAAAAAACGCGACATGCGTGAAGTTGATGTCACAGGTCTTTTAGTATGGTAGTGCACTTAATTCTTAACAATATTCTGTATATTATTGGCTGCACTAGTTTCAATACACAGAATTATTTGTTGTGACACTCAGTGCGTTATGTAGGTTGGTGATAAACAGGACGAAAGAAAGTGCTAGAAAATGTGAGAGAATCGAACGTTTAGGCTTATTGTGTTAAGTAATTGAATATCACTAAACTAAGACATGTCTAGCCAAGTCTTTCAACAGCGCATATTCAAGCAAACAGGTCATACCTGTGCTATTTAAACCAAAAACAGTGCGGTGTATGTTCGTACCTTGGATTCGCGAGTCGTATACATAGGAGCGGTGCCAGAAGCTTTTTGTTTTTTTGAGAAAAAGATTGAACTCCCCCCCCCCCCCCTGTTCCGTTGCTACGCCACTAGATAAGCACTTCTTTGTATACGCGCACAGATGTAAGAGAAAGTTTGTCTGCGATATGCAGTACTTGATTGAGAGGTATGGAAAGAAGCTAGGTAAGTAATATTATAAGATATTCATTGAAGTGCGACTGTTTTGCACGTGACCACTTACTGTTGATTGTTATCGGCTCTTTAAATGAATAATTGTCTGAAGTGAGTTGTAAACTAATTAGTTCATATTGCGGTCTTATCACTATTTGAAAAACTGCGCAAATTATCAACATGTGATTCGGGCGCCAGCTGCACGTGAAATGTGAAAAACAAATTTTTTTTTTCAGGAAGCACAGGTGATCACTTACCAAAATAGGTTTTCCGCCATCGTTAAGGCAGGCTTTCTTGATAGCCTCGAAAAATGAACCGTTGTCGAGTTCAACTTCTGGGTACGGGGAAAAGACAATGCCGTCCTTAATAGGGGCCTTCATATTCTGTGCGCTCTTCTGACAGTCACTTTCTGACAGCACCGTGGAAAATGCCCTCGGTACAATTGAAACGCGGTATATATAGGACGAGAGCCCGAGATAACAATTTATCACGAACGCTATCAGCATCACCGGCTGTTTGACCAGCAGAATCAATGATAAGCTGGCTAAGGTGCCAAAACGCCCACTTGGCAAGTGAAGTTACCGCGGATGTAACTATTCCGAAAACCCCGATTTCTTTCCTTTCTGCGCAGCATCGGGATCGCATCCGTATAGGAGAGGGTCAAGTGTGCGAGACACCGTATCTCTTATACGAGTCAATCTCTATAACCAAGGACGATCGCCTCAGCCTAGTTGTGATTTAGGGTGGAGAGATAACGGCGGCTTAGCAAGGCTGTCAGCACTGCAAACCGAAAAGACGCTCTTGTGCCGTCTGTGGCTCGGGGTGGCTTTTACGAATGTTTATTCGGTTCAAAGCGGAATGACCAGCAGCCCGACATGCAACAACTGTGACTGCGCAGAGACACTTGCCCATCTTCTCTGTGAGTGGCCTCGCATTAGTGCACTGATAAAAAAAACTGTTGAAAGCTCTAGATACGCCTGACAATCGTCAATTGTCGGAAGAAAGGGTCTCGACGCTGGCAGAGACCATTCTCGCCACGCTAGGCATTGAGAGCGTTGTTGCGCTTCTGCGGGCAAGTGGCCTCTCAGACAGACTGTAAACAGTGTTCTATATCGTATTGTTTTTAATGCCTCTTTTTTGTCATCTTTTTTCTCTTACCATTTTCCCCGGCCCAAGGTAGTCAATCGGTTTGAGAAATGGCTAAACTCCCTGTCCTTCCTTTTCTCCTCCATCCTGAGCACTGCAATATACTATTTAATGATTCCTTTACAAATTTACGCTAAGTTCATCGTATATCTACCATTCGAAGTGCTTTTAAAATGTTTAAGGTACTGCGCAACGACTAAACGACGTCACATTGATGTTCGTGCAGTGCAAAATCATGGCCAAGTGTTACAAGCGCTAGTACTAAAACGTAAAGAATACCTCACGGCTGTAGAGTGGCCTGCAACTAGCCGCGTTTTAAATGCTCAAAAGATATTTCACTTGAAGATGCCACAACCACAGGAGAGTAGACCTATTGGATCAAGTGGTGTGTAACAGATAGCCACCGGAACACACGCAGATGCGTTGATGCTGTATGTCCATTAGGTTGCGTACGCGGCATGTTACGGCACCATGGTGAGTGCATCACTACGATGGGTGTGATAAAACGGTGAGAGCGTAAGAAATGAGGGCCAAACCTCATAAGCGCGAAAATGCACGCGATAGCGACGACCGATGCGACGTAGATCGTCTTCGCGCGATCAGTCGCTAGCGCAGGCAAACCTCATTCACGCGACGGCTTCAGCGAGCGAACTTCACTGTTGCTGGCATGAGGCCGTCTACTCGCACCAAGAAAACCGCGTAGTGTGCGGTATGTAATTTAAAAATAAGATATATTGTTGTGTAATAGAACGGAAAGTGTTTATGAATGCCTTGCAGCACTTTTTTATATGCACATGCGTAAACATTGCGTTATTTCTTGTTGCGCATACGTGACTCGGGCAGGGTCATGTGCACCTATGTAGTTCTTGTATTTTCCGGTTTTTCGCTATTGGCTGCTTGAGCCCAGCACTTCCGGGCGATGAGCGACGGTTTCCAAATCTGGATAACCGAGCGATCGCGCGAGAACGAGCACGCAACACGTCGCGCAAACGCCCTGTTTCGTCGCTCATACCATCACTCGTCGCTGTCGCGTGCATTTTCGCGCTTATGAGGTTTGCTCTTAAGGGGCTGTGTTTTCCCGCGGTAACTGATGATGAGGCTGGACAAAGATACGCTGATATTGTATCCCGACGCGACACAAGATACTACAGTAATGATCGTATGCGATACGATACTTGAACTTCAAGATACTTCAAGATACTTCAATACATTTGCAAATTTGTTAACATAGGCACCCGTAGTGTAAATTGTCAATCTGGACTCGCATACTAATCATAATTGTTGTGTGTTTACGTCTCAAAATTACGATATCATTGGGGGGGGGGGGTGTAGGAGGGATATAGTGGATATTTCCGGAAATTTTGACCACCTGGTGTTCTTTAACGTGTAATTATATGTAAGCGCATGAGCCTGCATCATTTAGCCTCTATCGAAACGCCGCCGCAGCGGCAGGATTCTCGCGTAATCTTAACAGAACAATCTGAGACTGTCTCGAGGATTCCGATGCACTGCAGTGCCTTTTCCGCCGAGTGGTGATAATTTTTGGTGTCTCAGAAGCCGGTCGCCCCAAAACAAGAATTAACAGCCAGTGGCAGTATATTTGAACAAATTCTCGCATGCAGGACAACACCGCTATTCATGCCGTCCCCATCAGCAGCTATGATTGCCTCGCAATTAGTAATACTGGGAAATAAATAGAAATTAAGGCCCCCAAAAGCAAAACCAAATATAACTAAAATAGAAAAGCCAGTCTGAAGTAAGTATAAAAAACGGATAGGCACGACTCCTAAGAAAATCAGACATAAAGTATCATCAATTTACCTGTGGTTAAACAATGGAAACACTCAGTGACTATGAAAAATTGCCTTGATGGCCTCGTTGGTACCTTCGTAAGAAAAACGGACCATTAGGTATAAAAATGTTTATCTTATTCTATTTCTAAGATCTTTAGGACGGCACCTAATTATCTTCATTAGTATATTGCAAAGTAAATTTTGGCATTTGCAGTAAACAGAATGTGGTGTACTAAATGTATACGATATGGACACCTATTATAATGACATATTTGAGCCCCAAATAGCCTTGAAAGAATAGTAAACTCCAATCAACACACGTATGTAAACAGTAGCACAAATAAAGCAGGCAGTTAGAACTACGGATGAAATAGAGATCCTAATTATTTCGGCTGCACTTCAGAAAAGGCACATTGCAGTCACCAGACAGAAAGAAAAACAGTTCAAAACACTAGGTATTGCATGGGACGCAAAAGAAGGACCACTACGAAAGTAATTCTGCCCTTGCTTCCTTCCTTTATTGATTGATTGATTGATTGATTTGATTGATTGATTGATTGATTGATTGATTGATTGATTGATTGATCGATTGATCGATCGATCGATTGATTGATTGATTGATTGATTGATTGATTGATTGATTGATTGATTGATTGATTGATTGATTGATTGATTGATTGATTGATTGATTGATTGATATGTGGAGTTTCGTGTACCGAAACCACCACTTCTGCGAACCACTTCTGCAAACAATCATATGATTTCAAGAATTCTTTAAATAGAAATAACAGAAAAAAAAACTTAATGGTACACCAATATATCGTCTGATAGTGAAACACTTCTTTTATTAGTTCTAGCGTCGGTAAGGGCGGTCCTATAGCTAGAATAGTATTTGTGAATGAGTTAATCGCATGTGATTCAACCTTCGAAACAGTGGTGTGTCGAGGCCACGAGATGCAAATCAATCCCGTGCTTCAAACTTTGTACGGAAGTACCCAGCAGGAGAGCTTCATCATAATAAAAAAATTCAGCAGATCACACGTACCTCAGTAAATTAACGTCATGCGAGGCATGCGGAGGAAAGGTGACCATGTTGTAACTTTTTTTATTCAGCGACACGTCATAAAATTACGCTGAATATATGTATAAATGTTGCCCGCACAGAAACAGGTTGCAGATGTTTATATAGCCAGCTGTTTGTAATTGCGCAACGATGCCAACAGGAACTTGGGTATCAGCAACACCAGAAGTGACAAGCTGGTATGAAGCGCTGGTGCTCGCGAGGGTGGTCATCCTGGACACTGCTACATAGATCAACTTCAGCGCATGGCACATAACTACCATTCCGTTAACCCGGCGTGACGGCTGTATCACAGGAGCACCGATGTAATGTTTATAGGATTGGATAGCCAGCAGTGCAACTCCAATTGACGTTTCACGAACATTAGCGCCTATTTGAAAAGTTGTTCCACGACTTGGCGTGCAGCTGTCATATGATCCTTGATTGCCTCGCAGAATGCTTGGGATCGATTCCGGATGAGACCCTGATATTTCAGTAAACCTTGCGTTGGGTCTAGTTGGTACATAGCACGATAAGTTCACTTCTTATTGTAACCTGATATTTATTGTTGTCATTCGTCGGGTCAACGCTGCCAATGCAAGGTTTTTTTTTTTAACCCGTACGCGTTAAGAAAAACCGGTATGTGCCACATGTCATTGACTAAGTGTCAATCACCGGTGGCACATACCCGCCCCCGGAGATATGCCACTTTATGGCGGGCAGTGTTTCACGACGCACGCGACGGCATTGTCACGTTTTTCATGTCTTCACCAGCCCATCATATTCTTCAAACCGTCTTACGCTCCCATACTATATTTGGTTCACGCCAAGTTAAGGGGGCGATAGCGAGAGCACGCAGACGTAAGTGGCTAGATAGATAGATAGATAGATAGATAGATAGATAGATAGATAGATAGATAGATAGATAGATAGATAGATAGATAGATAGATAGATAGATAGATAGATAGATAGATAGATAGATAGATAGATAGATAGATAGATAGATAGATAGATAGATAGATAGATAGATAGATAGATAGATAGATAGATAGATAGATAGATAGATAGATAGATAGATAGATAGATAGATAGATAGATAGATAGATAGATAGATAGATAGATAGATAGATAGATAGATAGATAGATAGATAGATAGATAGATAGATAGATAGATAGATAGATAGATAGATAGATAGATAGATAGATAGATAGATAGATAGATAGATAGATAGATAGATAGATAGATAGATAGATAGATAGATAGATAGATAGATAGATAGATACGCATATCGATGCCGAAATTCCTTGCAATGCGCAAAGAGATGATTTAGTATGTTCGATTATCACGGGGCTGTACGCGGGGCTGATGATTGGCTTATGGTAAGAGTGCATGGCACAGGCACAACTAAAGAGGAAAAACAAAAGGCATGTGACCATACGCACGAACATCT